TAGGCTTAGCCAGCGAGCCGTCCGCCCATCTTTTGGACGGCCATCAATTGTTTAGGATGGCCACTTTTACCTTTTGACCTAATCAGCTCAGCCTAGCCTAATTGGGCCAGGTCTACCTACACAAAAATTCCAACATTTAAACACCTTAAAATGCCCTCTAAAGATCATAATTTTCTATTTTTTTTTTCTTATGTTTGGGAGGTTGCGTGGCCCACCCATCGGCTCAGGGCCATGTCCACTAGCTTCCATTTTGGGCGGCCTGTTTTGTTTTTCTGGCTAAACCCCAGCCTTACACACTATACTTGGTTGATTTGATAGTACTCCCCAGGAGCCATTAAGTGTTTTAAAGTAGGTTTTGCACACATCCATAGGCTGTAAGCAAAACCCAGTAGGCCTGCCCTTTTGATTTTATTAAAATAGAGAAACTTTATTTGTCCAAAAAAAAAAGGAAAAAAAAAAAAACAGTACATATGTAAAATTCTAACATAAAAAGTTAAATCATGGCAGTGGCATATATAGGTGGCCGGTGGGAGGCAGATTTCACTCGCCCTCTCTAAACACTTGCACCTCCTCCATTGATAATGTTTGAAGCAAAAGAAATCAATTATCTCAAGTAGATAAAAATCACCTTATCTTTGTGAGCTAGCTCCCCCTCACTTAATCATCGAGCACTCCCCCCACTTTACCTTCTTCTTCTTATTTATTTAGGCACACACGACATGTGCCAAGGATTGTCAATAGCGAATATATCACTGTCCTACTTGTAGGTGACAATCCCTTACACAAGACAAACATACACACACGATGCTTTACACAAACTAAATCTCAATATGAGATTTAGGGAGTGGAGTTGTTTTGGTCGTGAGAAAAAATCCTGCAACTGGCAGGAATTGAACCCAGGACTCTGGGATTGGAACCACCAAGCTATTCAACTCCACTCCTCCCTCAGCCCCAACATTTCCAGACTCCTTTATATGTCACTGATCTTTACCGATGTTGAATGCAATATATATTTAATAACAGAAGTGTGTATTGATTAGATGAATTTCTGAGATGTCTTATTTACACGTTAGTTTTATCACAATAGGGTCTGTGGTTGTTATTATGCATCAATCAATTTTTCTTGGTCCTCCAAAAAATGATACCACCATAAATTTCAGGAGTTTTATGCAAAAAGCAGAGAAATTATGCTGCAAATGAAAGCACAGAAAAATCTATAGTGAGTACAAGCAGGGACTCGCTGGTTTCAGATGGACCAATTAAAAGCCAGCAAGCCACTATGATAACATAAATCCACATATGATAACATAAATGATGAGTCTGATCTCATAGCACCCATAGTGTCAGGAATGCAGTTGAAACATTGAATACTAATAGTAAAGAGGTAATAGAGCATCTTTCTTCTTTTTTGGAATCTTTTTATTTTGTGTGTCAATTTTTGAGTCAACATAAATTAAAAGAGAATCACAAAAATACATCAGTCAAAATAAAAGAAAACATCAAAAATGTCTTTGATGGCATAGTAACTAATGTTACATGCTTAAAATCAAATCTCAATTCTAAACTTTGAACATAGAGAAACTAATAATGATGTTGATTACTAAATTTTTAAACATTTGAACACATTTTAAAGATGAAATTAACACTACTGAAAGAACAAGTTTTGAGCAAAAAAGCTCTGATAGTTGGCACTGGCCAATTTTGTCGATACAATATTGCTCACCTGAGAGGGTGAAAACTCTTGCCCGTCTTTCATGACATGTATTCTATTGCTATAAAATGCTATGTTTAGTTTCCAAGAAACTTTCATATAGTAAAATTCATCATCATCACATCACCATTTTATAGTCAAAATGAAGCGCCAACAAATTTATTTCCGACAACCATATATATCTAGTTAATATGTTTGATGTACGGTACTATAGAAAATACAACTTAAAAACATTGGCTTTAATGTATTTACTTTTGCATTCAGAACCGTGAGTCCACACCCATCTCTACCCCACTATAATTTGGGCTGAGGTGATAAAATTCGGGGAAATAGTACCTCTAGATTGCCGGATATGACACTCTTGTATAGTATAATTCATCATCATCGATGTAATACATTGCTGTGATATATTGTACCATAGAAAATAAATCTTAATTGTCTTTGATGTATTTACTTTACCTACATGTTCCAAAAACCAATCTTATCTTTGCACCCTTTTTCTCATACTTTTCAAATTATAAAAAGGCATTTGCTTGACTTAATATGAAATTGCATTGCAGACGAAAAGTGAGGGGACAAACCCCTCCCCCTTAAAAATATGTCAAGGGTGGACATGTACCCAGCCCCCCATGATCTGCACCCATGGGTGCATGAGACTCAAATTTTCGCACCTGAGGGGGCGAACATTTTGAGAATATTTTCTGGGTGCCCAGAAGATGCACTTTCATACCTTAAAAACCTTACCAATAATTGTCAAAAATATAATACAATGATTATTTTTCTTAATAAAATTTAGGAATTTAAATGCCCTACCTATAGTATTGTTTGAAGGTTTGCATGGCGAAGAGTATAACCATATATAAATTCTTGCGGTACACCACATAGATATCTACATGGTGTACCTCAAGAATTATTATATACCGTTTATACTCGATATGAAATGTTATTGGGCTGTGGAAGTTCAATAATAGTTGCAGTGATGACGTCACGATTGACTTATAATACAATTTAGGAGATTGCGATTGCACCATCTGCACCCCTGCAGCATCCTCCCACCAGAATTGCTTCTTCCACCTTAAGCCTGTTTTCCACTAGGCGAATCTGTTCTTGCGAAGCGAAAGCGTCGCTTCATGCGCATTCACATTCCTATCGGAGTTTTTGCGAAGTGAAAAAATGCGCAACCAATCAAGAGCTCAGGAAGCTAACCGACGCTTTGATTTGTGCGAATAAATTCGCCTAGTGGAAAACCAGCTTTAGGACCCCTAAAGTTGCCGTGTTAATCTGAACCATAAAGTAAAAACTAAAACAGCAGTTACTTTATATACTAATAATACTTTACATAATTTATTGAACACCAAGCTTTTGCAATTAACTTCTTCAGGATGCTATGTATAATATGAAAATATCTTAATCTCTTTATTAGCGCATAGTGGTTCCAGGATTTCCAAGTTCAAACATATTGATTTCTACTCGTATGTTAATATGAAAGAAATGGTCTTCAATGGAGAATTTGGTTACTGGAAACCAAAAAGAACAATTGGAGACAGGTATGTGCACCCACCCTTCCTATTCATGTGATAATGTAGTTTTTTTGGGGGTATAAGCCCACCTCAGCTATGCTTGCTTCTACTCTGTAGGTTATTTCTGATTTTAGGTTGTGTTTTTCCCCAATCAAAAGCTCAGTTTTTGAACAATCTCAATTTACCTTTACAAATACATTTAGGGAAAAAATGTAAGATCGGCTTCCATTTGTTCATGCAGTGTTGAAAATTTGCCTTTTAAATGTCCTCCCTATATTATTCTTATAAGTTTGCATGGGAAAGAGTAATAATATATTAATTCTATCATACCATAAATTACGTGCATCGTAATTTTTTAGGCAGCTGCGCCATATCAAGGTTGATAGATACGTGCGCCTGATAAATCCCTGATTGATTGATTGATATTTACATGGCGTATCACAAGATATATTATATACCTCAGAAGTCGGGAAAGCTCATTTCCCGCCATCTAGAAATCAAAATTTGTTGCCAAGGGAACCCGGACCCCCTTCTCTCTGAGGTTCATTGATTCATGGAACCGGAATCATTTTCAAGAGGGGGAAAACTTTGAATTTTGAAGAACTTAAATGTCATTAAAAGACACCTCAGAAGTTGGGAAAGCTCATTTCCTGCCTGCTAGGAATAAACATTTTCGGACCCCCTTTCTCTTTGGGGCGTATCAATTCATGGATGGAAAAAAGAATATGTACAGTATGCAACTACTCATTTTTAAAAAAAATTTATATATACACACACAACAGGCCTATTTACTATAAGAATGAGAAAGTTTACCTGACCATTTTCAAGAGCTGGAAACCATGAATTTTGAAGAACCTAAAATTCATTAAAAGACACCTAACTTAAAAGTCGGAAATGCTCATTTCCCGCCATCTAGGTAACTTCGGCTTTGAATCTAGAAAATTGAGTTGTGTTAAACTGAGTAGAGTATACAATAAACATAATTTTTTATTAAAGTTACAGCAGGTAGGCTAGGATAGTGCCTACAGTATGTTTATTAATTTAGTATTAATAATGAATGCAAAATAATGGTTTAAAACAACAACAGGAAAAAGAATAGGAAAGAAACTTAGAGCAGCTTAAAATAAAATCGGAAAAAATATATAATAAAAAATGTCATTATTTAATATTGTTATTTTATTTGTTATAAAATGAGTTTTGAGAACTATTCACCAGAGGTGAAGGCCACATAATTCGACATCAAATCTTGAACTTGTGACGTGATTTCCAATATCTTTATATGAAAATAGAATAGTAGGCCTATTTCAAATTTACCGATAGAAAAATTGTAAAACAATAAATCTTCAGTCAGTATTATATTTTTTTAAACGTCGGGAATTATTTTACACTATTTGCCAATAAAAAATATTATTTTATTAGCTATAGCTAAAATTAATTTGTGTTTTTAGGTAAGAAAACTTATATTATTATTATTATGCCTATGCCTATATTTATGAAAATCTCACATACGTTTTCCGACTCCTGAGTCTCAGCTGGGTCGGCATGCATAGGGCAGGCCTCACCAACTGTAGTAATAATCGTACGTTTCATATAATTCATATAACTGAGCATCTAATCAAATATTACAGCTTTTAGGCTAATATTCAACACAAAACAAATTTCAGTGGGACGTGTGACGTAACTTTTAGTAATAGAGTATGCGCAGACTGTAAGGTAAGGTAAGGTTAACCAATCAGAAGTGGGAGCAGAAGTCAAATTAAAGCGCTTGGTAACCTAGATACTGCACACATTATCGTAGGCAGAGCAGCAGCCCAGTGAAGTAGTTCAGTTTTCTTTGCTATAAAAATCACTTTCCCCGTGGGTGTATTTTAGTGAACTTTTTGTATGTTGTAGAGATAAAATTTAACTATATATATATTCATGGAAAGACGTTTTGTTGCAATTACATCCAACTTTGGTGTTTCAAATCTGTATTTCTGGTTGACTAATATTTTTGCGAGTTAGCTCCCCCTCACTTAGTCATCGAGCCAGTACCCCCACTTCATCTTCGCTCCCCCATCAGGGCCCACAATTTCCAGTATCCTTGATTCTCACTGGTCATAACTTTACCGATGTGAAATACAATATAAATTTATTAACAACAGTATGTATATTGATCAGATGATTTTTTCAGATGTCTTTCACATGTTAGTTATATGCATTAATCAATTTTTGTCGTTTCAGCAAAATATACCACAATCTATTTCAGAAGTTTTGCACGAAAGACAGAAAAATTCATTTATATACGAAAGCACAGTAAAGTCTATGGTG